TCCTGAACATAGTTGACACCTAGTAGATTTATAGCGTCTCACTTAGCACATTCAACACTCTGACCTTTTGCTCACATTTCAACATTTTGTTATATCAATTTCTATGCACTCTTGATAAAATACGTGAAGATTCACGATCCATAAATCATTCATAACGTGTTTCTATCACGGTGCATGCGTCATATGACAGTCCGTGTCTGGTGTATATACTGTTATCACCATTGTGAATGCCCTTAGTTATTCGCTGGTGTTTAATTTCGCTGTTTTTGCTGAATAAGTAAAATTCGCTAAATTAAATCTACGTGAACATAAGTAGAATGACAATAGAACTTATTTCCCTGCCAAGTTTGTGAAATTAAATACCAGTGAAATTTCTCAAAACATCAAAATAATGAAAATAGCATCTTTCTATTCTACAACTTTTGGACATTTTTCTGACCGTGTATGTAGCACCACGAGATAGTGTGTTTTCTCCGATATAGCGCCCCACTTTTGGTCCGATTCTCTGACTGTGACCAAAAGTTCCTGTTGATTGTTTTTTTCTCAGGCTCCTATAATTTCTCAATTTCCAAATAAAGATCACAGATGAAATTGATAATATAGTATTTAGTGTCAGTACAATAAAGTACACTGCATACAATCAAAACTTTGTTTTATAGCTTTCATAGTCTCTCTCGTATTAAAGCTTATATGTAAATTTTAGTCGTCCAGGCAACGTATGCCCATGCGTTAGTTGAGATGAATTTTTCAGTATACTGGATTCTTCTTGTTACAGTGTTACATACGTCAACAGCTACCACGAAGTATATGCCAGATCAACTAAAAGCTTTTCAAGGATATTTGATGGATATTAGTTTGTTATTTAATATTACTATCCAAGTTACTCAATTATGGCATCCGGGGTACTCCTCTAAATTGGTTTAAAGATTATCTATCTAACCGTAGACAATATGTTCAGGTAGATGGTTATCATTCCTCAACCCAACCTATCAATTATGGAGTTCCTCAAGGATCTGTTTTAGGTCCTATACTTTTTCTTTTATATATAAATGATATTCATAAATCCTCTCTTTTCTTCCAATTTAAATTATTTTCTGACGACTCTAACTTGTTTCACACACTAACATCACATTCCATTCCTGTACCAGATATAGAGTACAATCTGTCTTTGGTTAACAAATGGTGTAATGATAACAAATTAACTGTCAACTCAAACAAAACTAGTTACATGTTATTTTCCTCGTCACATAAACGAGTAAATCATGACAATCAGCCTATCCATATGAATGATACCATTCTAAACAAAGTTGACGAAACAACGTATCTTGGTGTGGTTCTGGATAGATACCTCACTTGGAAACCGCATGTTAAGCATAAAGGTCAATATTCAATTGATTATAATGGTTCAAAACTATGGAATGCTCTACCCAGTCATTTGAAACTCATTAACATTTGATTAATTTATTTCCTTATTTATTTACTCTGTATTTCTATGTTTAGTTCTATGTATTATTTATTTACTGTTGTAACTAGTCTTTATATCATTTTTGTAATAATCAATTGTGTTAGGTGAATACTACGCCCTTGTAATTTTTTTCTCATTGAAATAATTGTAAACAGGGGAACAGACTTGTCTAGCATTACGATTGCTATCTTCTGTTACCCCAGCCATGGATCAGTTGCTCATTTTGTTTTAATTTTTTTTTTTTTATACTTATTGTATCGCAATGTACTCTCTCTCTCTCTTGTCGTATGTTTTTAATTCTTTGTACAACCTGTCTATGGCAAATAAATAAATACAATACAAATTTTAGTTACGCAATCTGGAAAGTTGTATGTACTCAACTCCCAGTCATTCGTATTTGTTTTTGTCCTGCCCGGTCTGAGACCTTGCCCTGTTCCATTACCGACCCTTATCCTTCTCCATTCCCGGCTCATGCTCTGTTCCATTCCCGGCTCTGTTCCATTCCATTTCTGGTCCTTCTAATGAAAAGTACTCCGATATACGCAAAAACTGAGCACGTGCTGAATTTGTTCCGACCGTTCCCAACACGAGGTTCGACACGTGCCGGGATTCAAATCCATCTCTACCCGGATCGAGTTCGCTAGTGAGAACGTGATATGTATTTTGAACACTCGTAAGTAGTATCTGAATCTGAAAATATAAACCATATCTACTCGAGCGGGTCCTAGCTTCGAGCTGTCTGTGTGTTAATTCCGCTCACCCACACACACCCACACAGGCACTCACGTGCGTGCGTCCAACCACCGGCACATGAGATGGAAACTCAACATTAAATTATTTATATATGGTGCCAGGCAGAATATTGGATTTCAGGGCAAAATGACGTACATTGACGGGAATATGTGTGAATGACGATCGATATAACATTCTCTAGAAGATAACAAAGACATCATTCGTAAAATTATAGTAGTTTAGGTATTATGATTGAATCAAGTGAGATAAGTTGATGAACATTGCTTCAAGATATCATTTTTTATCGTGTATATATATGGCTTTGACATTTACTATACAAATATCAGACTATCTCTTGTGTTAAAATAACATTTATTTTTCAGCTGATCCAGAGTTTTCATCTTCAGAAATATTTTCTCATCGCCTTCATGTACCTCAAAGGACTAACTAAGACTTGGTTTATTAGTATAAATATTAACCAATCAGGATTGGAGAGAAAGGCAATATGGCCAAGGTGCTGACATAGCACATTTACTAAATAAGGTACTGGCAGGTTAATTGACTTTTGATGGTTCACACCTTAGTATTCAAATGGTGCAAACACCTCCACATTAATTATCCGAGCTTGCAATTTCTCGCAAAAAAATGTTTCTGGTCACATTGTTTTTAAAACGATGAGGCGATTTCTTTAGCCAAAATATTTTACAGCGCACCTTGTATTTTTTTTGAGTTCAAAATATGTGAGCTGGCTAGAGCATTCATCCCTTGCCTATTTCTTTAACTAGATACCAGCCGATACCCCCCCCCCCCCCATCGAGACTGCGAACAGTTGATCATAGTCCCCGGGCGTACACTTGCAATCACAAACTCAAAACAAAACGGAACATATTACCGTGATATCTCAAAATACGAACATACGAACTAACCACACGAGCAAAAGGTAAATGTTTTTTGAAAACAAATATGGTTGCACGCAGTTTTCTTACTATAAAAGGGGCCAACCCGCTGACAACACGTCGAGTAAGTTCAGTAAATCAAAAACGAAATTGCGCCCGTAAATAGATTCTCATCAGCCTCCCCGCCCCAAAAAAAGCCTGCCTACTCAATTCCTGGCAGTGCTAAAGATCTGAAACTGCATGATGTTACTCTTAGAGGGACTGTGACCAGACCATTCTTGAGCGCACTGGGAAGAAAACTGAATGGCTGGATTCCAGGCTAAAGACTGCACTGCCCTCATCTAAAGCAAGACCCAAATATCGATGTGCAGATAGAGGGCGCTCTACTCCACAACAGATTTTAACAATACTACGGTAGTACTATTGTGCACTTTTTGTACTGGGTATCCGTTCACGTCGCGACATCAATTCACCGCTAACTGATGATTTTCCACACAATAACATTTAGCCAATGAATGAGAACCTGGTATTTCAATGTCAGTTAATGCACGTTAAACATTTGTGAAAAAAATGTGGAGTTAATGGAATTACCAGTATACATAGTTGGGGAAGTTCAGTTAAATTTCTTCCATATATTTTTTTTCAACTAGTGACATTTTCTATTTAAAAAAAGTAAAGTGATCTAACTGATAAAATGGCTCCACTGTCCTGCAACCTTTAGTGCACGACAATTCTTGTTCATCGAACTGGCTTAAACCTACCAGAATGCTTTTTCAATTTGAGGGGCTGCTAGATTCTTGTAGACACCTTCACTGTGTGTATTCACTGCCATTTCTGATGATCGTCTCTTTAAACATTCACAAAAGAGTACAAACTATTATACAAATTTATTCCATTGGCATCGAAATAATGCAGTATTTTAAGCATAGTCCATTTTTTTTTTTAATTAACTCTTTGCCATGACGTTTTGGTACAACACCTCCAACATTAACAGTGAAACTCCAACGATTAATCACCCAAACCCCACAAGAACCAGTCAATGAAGTCTCCATTCAATTTTCTTTCTACACAAGTGGTTAATGTCCAGATTCATAACTGGCGACTGCTTAGATCAGGTATGAACTTTTCAGCAAACGTCAAAAGACTGAACAATAATTTGCGAAGCACTTTAAAAATCATGAAATTCAAAAAAAAACACGATTAACTTAATTTCATGAAGTGCAATGAATCGTTCAAATTATTCAAAATGTGTTATCCAAGATGGAAGGAAAACGTTGGCTTGATTTTATTGAGAAAGCAACATTGCTGTACTGTAAATTGGTAAACGCTTAGTCTTGCTGTAGTTTTAGAATTTACTGAAGGAGTATACATCTAAATGTAGCACTGCTGTAAAACAAAGCACTCATTTATGTTAACAGTATTAACTTTAATGAAATAGTCTCCAGTATCACAACACTAATGCATTTCAATACAGCACTTCCCAAGATGAATTTAAAGAAATTGTTTTTGGCTTTAGGTCAATACACTGTATAATAACCAAACCTTTACCATAATCCTAGAACTAATTTATCAAATCATTTATCTTTAGGGACTGGTCTACAATACTCTCACCAACACACACACACACCAAATGTATGAAATTAATGTATAAAATAACATTGTCAAGCATGACAACAAAGCATGTCAAGTCTGTAGGGAACGGTCATCCCCAAAATGTGAATTCAACTACCGGTAGTCTAGGCATGTGGCAAATAAAGTCCTAGAAAAAACATTCTCGGATCCTAAATGGTAGAAATGCTAAATTTTGGTCTATATATCCAGCACGATTCCAAATTCTTTCCCATGATGCAAGTGAATCATCTGCATTACAGAGTAGACAGGCTTTCTTAACACTATAGTTTACAAGGTTTTGCTTGTGAAAATATTTTATTTCTCAACATAAATGTATTATACAGGTACAGTTTAAATTGTACACTGAAGACAATGAAGTCAAATCAAAGCGTTCAAAGCATTAGACATTGTAATAAATTGATTTCACATGGGCAATTAAACCAGTTTACACTATAAATCGTGATTAAGAATGTATAATTTATTAAATTGATTGTTGTGTCTGCTCTAAGCTGGTTATGTACAATGACAAATGCATTTCCACAAGATTTTATATTGACTAGTGTCTTCCAGCAAATTGAAAAACAGCAGAAAATTACCTTTGAGAAAATGAAGATTTCCCAAGGAAGCATAATGGTGCAGTAAAATATATGAGCTACAGAAATCCGTATATCATAAGGGACGACGTCAAAATATCAATGTCTGATAAAAAACTTATTTCCTTTAGTTTGGGGGTGGGGGGTGGGGGGTTTGACCTCAAAAAGTTTCCATCTTACAAAAACGATTTTATTTTTTAATGAAGTCAAAAAAATCTTGGAGTATTTGTAGTTCTATCCAATCATGGACAGAAATAACCGAAAAGGGAAAAAAAACAGAAAAATGGTTTGGTTCGAGTGTAAATCTGTGCGTCAAATGAGGTGCATTTGTAAACTCTTTACACCCACCCGACAACCAACTGCTATGCAATACTACTGTCCGATTATCAATTTGTATTTAATAGTGAATGTAGTCTGACGCCATGACCAATATTTATCAATTAAGTTTCAGTGGGGGTAGGGGGGTTTGGAAAAAAACTAAAGGAATTAAGTTTTTTATTCGACATCGATCTTTTGACGTCCTCCCTAAAGTAGGTTAGTGCAGTGATGTCTGCGACTGGAGTGACAAACTCCAGGAATTGTTGTATTTGAATAAGTGTGAAATTACAAGGTCATACATGTAGCAAGTTCACCAATATTTCAGGAATGAAAGACCACTCAGCTGACAGTGAAAGAATGAATTAACATAGTACAAAAATATAACTAATCTCAATCTAAAATGATGAACATGTAGGCAGCAATCTGTGATACATTTGGTATCTACTGGGAGGAAAACAATTTAGGGTATAAATACAATCAAATATCTGAAGTATATTTCAAATCAATATTATAATCAATTGTCAGATTCCTGGAGCTCAGACAGTTGAAGAGCGACTGTACTGTTATGGACAAATCATAGTAAAAAATAAATAGATGTATACCTTTTGATATGGCAGTGTATTGTTTATAGGGGTTGTATCAGAACTGGCAGACAAAATTTTGGTTTACTTAGTTTATAAACCAAAGTACTGTGAATACTTGTGTATATATATATACCAATAGTATTAGGTTACAGCTATACTGAGATATTTAGGAACCACACATCAAACAGTCATCTTTGTTTTGTAAGGAGCACACCATTGCTGCCTGGTTTTCTTCTTCCTTTTCTGCTGCTGCCTCAACGTTGGTTGTTGGCTTCAAGGAGGTTTTGTTAACTGTAAATTTGATTGGGTCGGCTGCCGGACGTGTACGAAGGTAATACATGCCAGTCTTCAAGCCCTTTGTTAAAAAAAATTAAACATTTGTAAGATTACTACTTCAGAAAGTTAACTGAAAACAATGTAGGCGACAGGTTGGAGAATCAAGTACTGTTAAATCAGACATTTTTTGCATAATTTATACCAAAACAGTGAAAGAATAAGAATGCATGAAATTTCGTTTGACAAATATTTGTGTCAACCAATGTTACGAACATGAAATGCAATCATTTCTCTAACGTTTCAATCTTAGAAAAAAAATATTTTTGTTAAATAGGGTACTAAAATAGCCTAATAAATAGAGTATTAATCAATTTCATCTTTGATTAAGTGTACTACTACTAATAACCAGATGTGCATTGGGATCCAACTGTCATGGCCGATCTCCTGTAGCCCCATTAATTTAGATCAAAAATTCTGTAGCTTGTCTGAACAATACTTGTAAATAACGCTCACAATTTCCAACAAGGTGGTTTTGTATGCAAACTGTTCCTCTACCATAATTGACACAATGACTTAATGTAGAAAGTGTTCCACATTGCATGATCAAATGCTTTTTCCTAAAAAAAAAATGGCTATTATTGTTCCAAAGTACTGAAGGAAAGTACAGACTAAAAACAGGACTATTTGGTGACGAAAAGAGGGAGCTGGTGGTGAAAAGGATAAATGTTAATTATGCGATTTAAAAAAAACAAACATCTATACAAGATGACTTTGAAACGCCCCACAAAAAACATACCTGCTTCCATGCAAAGAAGTGCATACTGGTCAGTTTTCCATAGTTTGGCTCTGCAATATGAATGTTCAATGACTGACTTTGATCAATGAATGCTCCTCTATCTGCAGCCATGATCAAAATATTCTTCTGAGAGATTTCCCACACAGTTCTGTACAGTTTCTTGATATGATCTGGAATTCCATCGATGCTCTGAAACAAACAACAAATTAGTTGATCTAATTGTTATACTTTCACTAATGACAGTTTTAACAGTGATAAGAACTATTGGGTAATATTAGTACCTGAATAGAGCCATTGTTAGCAATCAACAAATTCTTCATATCATCATTCCAGAGACCCATCTCAGTCAAGTCTTTCAGTAGATGGTGATTCACAACCTGAAAAGATAATTAGTAAACTCTGAGGAAATTCTTAAATAAAGACAGGCAACTGGTGGCCATGGTACAAGGTTTTACCAACCTAGCACAATGGAAGGGACCAACAACACACGTGTTCTGTTTATACATACAGGAGATACTGAATTGTTAGAGTTACAGATATTGAGTAACAAACACCGATTTAATAAAAAAAGACCACGCCCACTTTTGTAAAATCACGCCCAAATTGTAGCTCCGAGTTACTGACAACAGATTTTTATTTTTGTTAAACATTCACACTTAGTAACTAATTTTAGTTAACCAAACTTTGAATAGCAGAAATACACAATGTTAAACGAAACAAAAAAGGTATGTTGCCAGTAACTCTGTTAACTGAACACACAAGTCACAATTTGAGCATGGTTTCTAAAATATGGGAGTGATCATTTTTGTAACTCAAAAAATTCTGCATCTGGCTTAACATGGTGAGCCAACAGTCATTCGAAGTACAACTACTTGATCCTTAAAGCGAGTAGTCACCTGTGCATTCATTAGATGGCCAAAGCGTGTCATTGTTTACAAACAAGCGTCTACCCACGAGATCTTTGCATTTTTATCACATGTTATCGTTGCTTGGGACTATTCCTTGGGACCCCCTACTCGCTTTAACATCTATAAATATAAACAAGGTATCAAAATACAAACCTGAAATTCTCCTGACAAGACCCTTCTTGAATAGATATTGGTTGTATAAGGCTCAACTGATTCATTGTTACCCAGTATCTGTGCAGTTGAAGCTGTTGGCATAGGTGCTAATAATAAACTATTACGTAAACCATGTGTAGCAATGTCTTTCTTCAGTGCATCCCAATCATGTAAATCGGTTGGAGTTACATCCCACATATCATACTGTAAGATCTGTTAATACAAAATGACATTGTACGAGAGAACCTATTAATTTGTCATCTAATGAACCATAAGGTTGTCAAAGCAAGCAATGACAAGTAACATACAAAAGACATCTCAAAAAGACCAACACAATTGTACTGAACAAAAGACAGGAATATCTCCAATACCTGAACACGGCACAGGAAACACTGAATTGTTGTAAAGCAGTCTTCAGTCAGAAAATGTAATATAAAAATTACTTACTCCTTTACTAACAGGACATCCATCTCCAAATTTATAAGATTCATATGCTCCGTCTCGTTCAGCCAATTCACAACTGGCTTTCAAGGCACCGTAATATATAGTTTCAAATATTTGTTTATTCAATAACATTGCTTCATCACTGTCAAAAGGAAACCTCATTAATATAAATGCATCAGCAAGACCCTGAACACCAATACCAATGGGACGATGTCGCATATTGCTATTTCTTGCCTGCAAGAAAAAGATTTCATAAACTTGGGTTAATTTATGGCTCCTAGACAAACAAGTCATTGAAAATGACAGTCCTCGTTACATTTCTGAAAGTTCTCTTTGTGCTTGTCATATTAAAGTGGAGGGTTTGTCGCGAGCATGTCCTTGAAACTGAGTGGCGTATACAACAGATTGTTCATTTACATCAAATTAGAACACGTGTTGCGTGACGACCTCTCTAGTTTAAGACATAGCAAACAAAAACATAGATCACAAGTGAAAGCATGTCAAATATATCACATTTTAAACAAACAAGATGGCCGCCAGTCGGCCATATTTGATTAAATTGAATTGACATGTACATGTATCCATTTATGACATGCTAAATATCAATGAAAATGATACATGGGTGACAGATATAGTAATATGGCCAAAAATAAAAACAGCCGTTATTCGGCCACCTTTAATCTGATTATAAACAAAGTGACATGTAAGACGTATGTGCCAAATACAAATGGTACATAAATCTTGGAAATATAGTAGTAAAACCAAAAAGTCAGATGGCTGTGCATCGGCCATCCTTGATCCAAATTGTCATTGATAAATTGTCATGGACATGTATCCTAACATGTATAAAGTATGTGCCAAATTTGAATGAAAACTGACAAAGCATGTCCAAGATACCACATTTAAAAAAACAAACAAGATGCCTGCCATCTTTTATCCAATTGCGAAGGAAATTGTCATGGACATGTATCCTAATATGTACCAATTTTGAATGAACACGCCATTTTCAAAAAACAAGATGGCTGCCAGTCATCCATTTTGAATCGAATCACTAAACCACTGCATGTGCACATGTCCCACATAAAGTACTAGGCACATGCAAAGAATGAATAGAATCGGTCAGACGGATTCTGAAATATGACTCCGGACGAAAACCGAATTACAAGTCTAACAAGAACTGCACTGTTCAATATTAAGTATATCATACATTCCTAACATGCCTGAAATACATAGGATTGGGGCAATTAACTAAAGTAACTTTGTGTATAGAATTGCAGACTTTCACAAAGTTGGCCATGCACAGGGCTGTATAGGTGAGTAACTGGAGTAAAATACTTGCCTCTTCCACTGGATAAAAGTTGACATCAATAATTTTATTCAGATTTCTAACAATAACACCTGTAACTTGTTCCAGTTTTTTGAAATCATACGTCTTGTCTGGTTTAACAAACATATTCACAGCAATGGAAGCCAGATTACACACTGCAACCTTCAAGCAATAAATAATATGTTAAATATGTTTAGTGATGTAGTAAAACACTGTCACAGACTAGTCTAGTTGGATCCTATACATTGTGTATTCGGGTAAAAGCAAATTTCCTGCATCAATTTGTGCTTAATACAAGTCGTTGTAAATGACAATTCCAGTTTGTACTATAGGCTTGAAATATTGCCTGACTACTAAAGTGATAGGCATTTAGTGATTTTTATGTTGAGTTGTACTGCAGTGATGAGGATATCTAGCCAGGTTAAGTTTCTGGCGATTTTTATGTGATGTTGTGCTAAGTTGTAATGTTGATAGCTAGCCAGGTTAATTTCTGGTGATTTTTATGCAATGTTGTTCCAAGTTGTACTGTAATAATGTTGATAGCTAGCCAGGCTAGTCTCAGGCAAATATTATGTGACGTACTCTAGTTGTACTGTTACAATTATACAATTTTTTTTTTTAATTTGACTGACCTCATCAGGAGAACTGAATTCCACAATCTCAGTACAAAGATTACTGCATTTTATTGTTCCTAAATTCTGATGGTTGGATTTCCTGTTACAAGCATCTTTATACAGCATGTATGGTGTACCAGTTTCAGTCTGTGCTTCAATAATTGCATACCACAGCAACTGGGCTTTGATGGTCTTGGTACCTTTATTTTCTCTCTCGTATCTGAAAGTACAACAATTAAACAGTTGAATATGATGCTATACACACCTTATCAGGCTGACATTTTTTGATATGCCACTGGTACCAATGTGGATGGAATATCAGGGCTTGAACTTCACGGAGTGCTGAAAGGTAATTGCCTCAATGCCCAATGAGTTTTGTCTTGGTGCCCTTTGATATATTCCTTACATTATTCCTGTAATGCCCAGACAATTTTATTGATTTTGGCCTCGAAAATCTCAATTAAGAGGGTCAAGCCCTTGGATAACAAAAAATGTACATATTTAAACAACTTGTAGAATAACATTTTCTGGTGAGTCACAGTAGAAAGACAGTTGTAGGCGAAAATGGTTCAAAGATTAACATAAAACTTTTAACCTGTCTGAAAATGTATGCTGCTTATCGGTATATATTTACTAGGCCAGAGTTACTAGTTTTGGGAGTGAACATCCAAGAATTTTCATGTGAAAACAAAGACAAAACTACTTTGGAATAGTTGTTGGAACTTTTCTGAACAGTACAACAAGATTACTCCTACATATGCAACATGTATAAATTTGGTTGCTCAGAATTACTCTAGTTTGTGGCGTTTTCCCAGATTTAGGCTGGTGTTCCACAACAGCTTGCAGAGCCCATAGAAATATATGGTGAATGTTTAGCAACATAGAACATTCTGTGGCACATCAGCCCACCGAGAATTCAGTTGTTCAAATGGCAATTTTACTGCCAAACGTTTTTACACAAGAAAGTCTTAAAATCTAAAAAAACATTACTTTTCATAGAGGTCTTCAAATTCTTTTCCCCAGACATCATGAAGACCAGGACATTCATTTGGACACATCAATGTCCAATCTTGGTTGGTCTCAACACGTTTCATGAACAGATCAGGAATCCACAGAGCATAAAAAAGATCTCTTGCTCTTTGTTCTTCCTTTCCTGTGTTTTTCTTAGCATCCAAGAAATCAAAGATGTCTGCATGCCATGGTTCCAAGTAAATGGCAAAGGCACCAGGACGCTAAAAAGAAGAAATAATCCTTATGATATATTGTTTTCAATGAAATTAGCCTAAATGCCAACTTTGCTGATATTAGTGAATACATTTTAGTGCAAGTCAAAACTGATTTGGCTAAAATATAAATCTATTAATTAATCACTAGGATACTCTAGAGAAATGGTGGTGGGAGACAATTCTACCACATTAATAAAATTTCTACTGGGTCAGATCTTGCATGTTTGGTTGATACTTGTACAATGTAATACATACATAAGCAGAAGTTCAAACAATGGAATGAGTGATTTCTTCTAATTGTATTGTACTTTCAACATCCATACTGGGTTAGTCATTTACGATTAAAGTAAGTTTGTTTTTATACAAATCCCATCAAAAAGTGGTAAAATAGCCATTACTTTTCTTATTATGCACGGCAACGAAGTATATTTATATACATGTTCACTAGACTATCAGGGCCAAATTTAAACAAGTCATTGTCAATGACACGTCCCCGTTCCGTTCATATTTGAGTGACATATACATTCAAAGCAGATCATGACCGAAATGCACCTGCATATGTACAACACATTGTACTAAATCTGAACAAAATCTATCCATGCATGACTGAGATCCGGTTCCGGAATTGTGAAAATACGTGATTTTGATGCATTTTCGGCCTTAAAATGGCCATCATTCAGCTATTGTTAAGCGGATCATGAAACAAATGCACATATCTATTTGTGACATAATGTACCATGTGTGTGTGAAGTTTGAACTTGATCAATCCAGACATGTCTCGGATACGGATCCAGAACTGAATTCTTTAAAACAAAATGGCCGCCAGTCGGCCATTTCGAACTTGATCCGAAAAAAAAAATGGCGTGCATCAAGGTCCTATTATGTTTAATGTATGTACCAAATTTGAACGAAAACCGTCCATGCATAACTGAGATCCGGGTCCGGAATAGTGAAAATGTGCAATTTCAATGCATTTTCGGCCTTAAAGCAGCCCCCATTTGGTTATCGTTAATGAGATCATGAAACAAATGCACATACATATTTGTGACATGATGTACCTTGTGTGTGTGAAGTTTGAACTCGATCAATCCAGACATGCCTTGGATACGGATCCAGAACTGAATTCTTTAAAACAAAATGGCCACCAGTCGGCCATTTCGAACTTGATCCGAAAAAAAAAAAGACGCGCATGCATCAAAGTCCTATTATGTTTAATGTATGTACCAAATTTGAACGAAATCCGTCCATGCATAACTGAGATCCGGGTCCGGAATGGTGAAAATGTGCGATTTTGATGCATTTTCAGCCTTAAAATGGCCGCTATTCGGCTATCGTTAATCGGATCATGAAAAAAATGCATGTGCATATGTCCCATATAATGTGTGATGTATGAGTGAAGTTTGAACTTAATCGGTCCATGCATGTTCGAGATACAGGTGATCACAGACGGACGCACACAGGGCAAAACATAAGTCCCCGTTTTCGGACTACGTCCGAACGGGGACTAAAAATCCCCCAAAATTGGTTGTACACATAGAAAGGGTTGTTGGGGCAACCACTAATTTTAAACCCTGTGTATAGCAGAAGGAGCATTATGCCTTAAGCCGTGATTTGTAGTACTCGTGCTTAGAAAGCTCCAATACAACCCTCTAAAGAATACCAAATTTAATGTAATGAAGGGGCAGGACTTGTACGTACATTGCATAAACTAGAAACAGGCTTGGATACATTTTTTTTAATCTGCTTATATTCGTTTGAGAAAATTGAAATCTGAGATTTGTTGCTTACCTTGTTTCCACCTTGGTCAACATATCGAGCTGTGTTATTATACACCCTCAACATGGGAAGTAGACCATTGGAGCTGCCATTTGTCTATCAAATAAAAAATGATATTACACCCACGTGTCATTGGTTGACAGAGGTTTTATTCAATCTAGTCAGGAAGATTGACAGTGAATCAACATATTTACATGTGAAAACTGATTCAGATTTAAAACATTAACGCATTCAATGAAAATTTTTTCTTCCAAAATGTTGGTGAATTACTACAGTGAAAGGCAGAAAGCTGTACCTTAACCGTTTCACCATCAGTTCCTTCTCTTGATCACAAAATAGTACAGTTATAGTCTGCACTTTCTATTAGAAGACTAAGACAAACATAGCCTAATATAAGAAAATATTGTTGAAAAACTTGGGCTAGAAAATCTAGGTGGTGAAAAGGGTAAATTATACAGACCAATAAGTTAATAGCAATTGGCTCAAAAGCTCAACATTGTCTATGTTCAATGCACATGACATGGCAACTGCAAATGCCTACTTATTCAAAATTTAGCACAAGCTAATTGGCTAATGAATTAACTAATTTTAATTAAACAAATGATGTCAATATATTTTCTAGATTGGTCAATTTAAATTCTAACAGCCATTTTGATTTATAAAACTTTTATTGTGATCAAGGCTTTCTCCTCTTGTTTTTTTTATACAATTTTTCTATTTTTAAATGAATTTTCCATCATTTAAGTTTATTAAAAAAAACCAGGAAAATCTATTTTCCAAACAGATCCTAAAGGCCACACCGACTTAATTGTATGGATGACATCCGCGCGCATTAGTTTTCGTCTGTTCTCAAAAAAAGAAAAAAAAAAAAAAATCTCCGACGACGTCTACACAGATCGGTTTTCTGTCGGAACTTGCCGACTCGCATTGCCACAAAGCGCCGGCTTGTCGTAAAACTCATTTTGGACTGCCTCAAAACATGCCAATTTTGACGTAAATGATTCCAACATGGCGATCACACCACCAAAATACGCGAGCATAAAAGTTCAGAGGAAAAACTGAGGGATTGTTGTAGACGTTGCAATTGATGTCGGCCAGGGAGATGTGGCGTTTACACAGCTATACGAGAGGTCAGTAGCAGCAAGCGGGTTTCGCGCTGACAACATATTGTCCACAGTGGCTATCCCGCGTTTCTTCTGCAACGATGAGAGAAATGGGAGAGGAGTGGAGGTGTATGGTGGCCTAAAAGTTGGTCAGGCGACAAGTCAGTTGGGTTGTTTTGTTAGCATTGAAGTCCACAAAACTGCAAAAAAAGCAGAGGAAGTTCCGCTTTGGAGGTGAAGAAAATTTGCTTCTTATTTTCTGATTCGGATAATTTGCTTGTACACACAGTCCAATGTTTTGTTAGTTATTGCCATAAAGTAGTGATATGTACATGTGTACATTCTGCCTTGACTTGAAAATGGTGTGCATGCTGTACCTTGAATGCAGTGTTTCTGACTGAAGATACTTCATCATGACTACATGTACTAGAGCTTGTCTGAAATGATTATACATGTACCTGTGACAGTAATACAGTACGAGAGGTGTACATCAACATGTACCTCCTACAAATAAAGACTTCTTGTTGTTTTTTTAGTACACTCTGTTCTGTGGTTCAATTCGTAATACCAGCTCCGCAGTCCTGTGGTTTTAGCAGCATTTTTTTTTTTGGCAGAATTTTTTTATTTCCCGCCCTCTCGCATTAGTTTTGGGGTCTCCAGAGGATGTTATCCATAAAATTAAATCAGTGTGGCCTAAAATGAAACTTGTACAGGGTTGTTACAACATAATGAAAGTTGACGATTTCAGTTGCAAACAGGAAGAAACTTACCCCTGCAATGTAACTACCAGATGCCCTAATACAGTGAACATTCACTCCAATGCCACCAGCACTCTTAGATATCAAGGCACATTGTTTTAGGGTGTCATAGATTCCTTCAATGCTGTCATCTTTCATGGTCAACAGGAAACAGCTACAAAATACAATATGGTCTCCTAAATATTTGTGATAATATTTGGGTTTTCATAACCACTGCCAGCATGGACGAAACACTACAATCGAGTGGTATAAATGTACCTCATAACCTAGTTTGATTTAGACAGATGGTAAACAATGAACCTTAGAAAGGGCCTAAACATTACAAAGGCAATTGTCATGATGACCTTTGATATTCCCTATGTGAATATGCTACGACTTTCATAAATTTTGGCTTTGTATGGGTGCCTCTACTTCAAAGAGTCTAGTTTGATTTTATTTTACCAGGTCCAATAATTAACCAGGATTGCACTCCCAAAAAAAAAAATGCAGCAAACTTTAATGCTACATAACATTATTTCAATCCAGAGTTATAGCCAGAAAATAGAAAGTGCCTGTCTAAAAACATTCAAAATGAAAGATAGTTACTAGTCTTACCACAGGTCAACAATGTTTTGTTGATTATTTATGGTTATTTCGTCATTCACTGGTAATTTTCAATCAAAATTGGACAAGCTTGTAGAAATTTTGTACGTGTCTAAAATGTGGATTGCACGTCTAAACAAGCAACTTGACAGTTGAAATAGCTCCGCTGTCTTCATTATCATGGAACAAGAATCAGTAAAGTGGCATTGTGGTTGACTGTTTCGGACTAGTTGTTGAAAATAACATTTTTTACCAAAAATATTCACTAAAAATCCAAATTTGCACATTTTGACACAAATTTAATAAATCTGAGAGGACCACTGCAAGTACATTTGGTACAAATATGAATGTAATTGGTGAAAGTACTTTTGAAGAAGTTGTTTAAAGAAAAACCCTCATACCAACAGCTCTGCTGGGTCATCTGCAATGACAGGGGAGCTAAAAACAAGTAGACAGATGGCTGGCTAAAAACCTGTGTCAATCTGAATTTGAGAGGAATTTGCATCTTTGTGGTGTTTACCCAAATGATATGCAAAACAACATTTTGCAACCTGTGTTTAAGAAAAACATTGAATAAATTCTTGTATGTCAGGAATAGTGGAGTGAATTTCTACCTTGAAAGCTGTGGTCGGCAAGTGCCAGCATTGAATAGAGTGGGAGATGCATGGGTAAACCATTTCTCTGACAACAAATTGTAAGTCTGAAATGTACAATAGAATACAAATGAAATTATTTCAAAACATGATTTTTCAATCAAATACACATTTTTTAATATGTACAAGATATAATTCTCACCTCAATAGCACCTTCAATATCATTGTGATGAATTCCAACAGATACTCTCATCAACATGTGTTGAGGACGTTCAGCAACTTTACCATTTATCTTCAACAAATATGACCTTTCAAGAGTCTGAGTACACAAAAATTAAAGATAATAATGCACCAAAAGAAAAAAAAAAAAAGACAGAAAAACCACTCAGTGCGTAGTCAAGAAGACTTGCAGAATATGTATGAACCAGCAAAACCCACTCGCTGTATATTGGTAGTCATGGAGACTTACAGAATATGTATGAACCAGCAAAACCACTCACTGTATATTGGTAGTCATGGAGACTTACAGAATATGTATGAACCAGCAAAACCACTCGCTGTATATGGGTAGTCATGGAGACTTGCAGAAAATGTATGAACCAGCAAAACCACTCACTGTATATTGGTAGTCACGGAGACTTGCAGAATATGTATGAACCAGCAAAACCACTCACTATATATTGGCAGTCATGGAGACTTACAGAATATGTATGAACCAGCGAAACCACTCACTGTATATTGGTAGTCATGGGGACTTACAGAATATGTATGAACCAGCAAAACCACGCACTGTACATGGGTAGTCGTGGAAACTTACAGAATATGTATGAACCAGCAAAACCACTCACTGTATATTGGTAGTCATGGAGACTTACAGCAGTGGGTGAAGTGATTCAATATTATTTTATGATGGCCTAAAAACAAACTTGAATTTCTTGATCAGTTTGTAGAACACCATCAAAATATAAGTAATACAACAGTCTCAGAGCAAAAGAACAATTGGATATTAGTATCTAGTATCACGCTGCAGGTAATTAGAGTACAAATTAATACTGTGAAATACTTCATGTTCATGTGGAAAAGTATTTTCACTTGGAAAGTATTTTCTCTCAGTGGATTCAGTGAAAATAAACTATAGACAACACAAAAATAATCTCAGCAAAAATAAATTCCAGCTAAAATAAAAGTATTTTACAGTATTCATCCACCTCCAGATAAATATTCCTTGCAAGTGAGGTTTGCTATTAAGCAGTAAGACAGATCTATGATTTGAGTATTTTCTTTATTTATAAAGCCTTTACTCACCTTGAAGCCAAAAAAATTGTAGTTGAAATCTCTATCATAGATGATTGCAGAGTTAAGACGCTGCAAAAGAAATAGAAAATATGTTAAAAGATGTCATAAGTGCAGAGGTACATAAATCTTGATAGGAGTACGAATTCAGAATTCCTCACTTACCTCAGCATTATTTGTAATTATATCATGAATTTTTGTGGAGATCATCGGAGAAGGTTTATTATTTCTTGGGTTGACATAATTGAATAAATCATCCATTACGGCTGAAAACAAATTTGGTTGACATTAACAAACAGCAAAATTAAACACATTTTTTGTATTAAAAGGGCTGATGAATATTTGAGAACATTTAGTTTATTAAATGTGTATGCAGTTTCTTTTTATGTTTTTATTAAAAAAAATGTACAAACTTTTTCACTTTATATCCTGATAAAGATTCAATAAAATAAAATATAAAATTAACATGATATTTATTACATTTCTTTTAAGTTTCTGCTTGATGAACATTTGGTATATAACGACACGTGTTAATCTAGAATCTAATTACACAACAATGGACGTGTATGTGCATCTTGATGGATGGATGTATGTGTGAAGTTTGAATGAAATTTGTCCAGGCATTTGGGATACAGGCAGGATTTCAACTCTGGTTTATCAATTGTAAATCTGATGCGATGCAACAACCACGATGTAACTAATGTATGCCGTTTCTCTAATATGTTGAAAATTGCTGTCATTCACTACACATACTAACTTACCACTGAAGGTTTTCTTAGTTTCTTTATGTAGATTAGAGACTGCAATTCTTGCGGCCAATACAGCATAGTCAGGATGTTTGGTGGTCATACTAGCAGCAGTTTCTGCAGCTAATGTATCTAATTCCACTGTAGTTACACCAGGATAAACACCAGTTATCACCCTCATGGTAATCGCGGCCTAGCAATCAAAGCATGTGAAATGTTACATAATTGAAATACAGATGATTTTTACCAAGAAGATAAAATGGTCAAGTACTACTACTGCTCTGCGAGACTTAAAGCTGTGACAATACAGTTCCACCAGGACTTGTCTTTTGCAGAGCCTGCTGTACCTAGCCAAAGTCTCATCTCTGCCAGCTCAGCTGTAACAGGTCTGCAACATGTTTTGGGGCATCCAAGTTTACTTTTGCCGAGAGGAATTAAATTCGGGGCCATTTTTGGGATTTGTTCCCTTTCCATTCTGAGTATGTGCCAGGCCATCCAGCAAAAAGGTTGGATAAATGCCTTTACAAAGGACATATTTATCAAACAAATAATTTGAATGAGTTGGATGATTCATCAAAAAATAAGATTCAATGTAAACACCAGACCATTAGTTTTTAGGCAAGTGATTACTCAAGAGAAATTTGCTTTTGCAAAATTTCTCCAAGCTAAAAATAAAGAAAGAGCGAGACATTCTACTGAATGTTAACACAACCTTAGTTATGTTTTCGAGATGCTGGAACCAAACTTTTCCTTCAAATAAACAATTCACAGCTGTGGGAAAATTATGTGATTAAATTTTGACAGAGTGGTTTACATTATTTAGGAAAGTTGAGATCTGAAATGGGCACAATTTTAATAAGAATCACTTTACTGTTTTAATAGTTGTTTACTGTATGATATCCGGTCAGGAATGCAGATGAATTGTTAGTTTGTGTTCAAGCAATCAGTTTTTTCTTGGATGTTGCATGTTACAGTGCGATGCGCCTCAAAAATCACGAGCGGCGAGGCGAGGGTGCACCGTGGGCTAGCCCGGCGAGCAGGGAGGCGCAGTGAAAAACTAGCCTTGATTTTGCGTGGGTGCGCCGAATTTGTGTGGGTACGCCGGATTAAAAGAGGCTCGCCTTTTCCAAAGAGTGAGCCATAATGTTAGCAGGTCGGCGTGCTGCTTTTCTAAAGGAAGTTCGTTTCTTTCACTATTTACGCTTTGTGAAGTAATGCTGCTTTTGGGAAATGCGTGGACCTTAAAATTAAGGTCTTTGGAAAAAACTACGTGACTTTTACGTTCTCCAGAAGAGCGTGTACAGTACGCGACCGTAACTGTAAATTCAAACACGTACAGACAGTGTACATTTCGCTTTGTTTCTAGTCAAGTCAAAAAACTCTGCAGGAGAATTAATTTACATCTGTATGTTTCTGGTGAATTTCTTCTGTTGGTTATTATTTAGAGAATACGTTATTTATTCCACGGATCGTCGGTTTTGGGGGGATTGTGGTTTGTTGAAACAAAGCTTTCTACAAGCCGTGTTTCGCACAGCAGCAATTCGATTGGCCATACAATGTACTTTGTATCTTATTGTGCGTGCGTAAAACACGGTAAAGGACCAGAAAAATGTACAAAGATAATCGCACGCACGCCCGTTGATTCGACCACTTTTAATTATGTTTTGTTTCGACTATACTATGTAGTGTACAGGTTAAAGGAACTAAATTATTAGTTGTCAGTATATTTTAAAATCGGTGGAAGAAACAATTTACAAATTTGGTTAAAATCTGATCCGGTTTGCAGCAGCTCGTCAATAACGCGGTGACAGGTCAACTCAAATTGATCACGCCACAGTTGCCGCCGACAACTGACTTGATAACACGGTCGTTTGCTACACATTTTCATGTTTTCCCAAAACGCTGTTTAACAATCATGACCAATCCACAACTTTCGTTGGGAAATTATTTTTTTTTGTTTTACCTTCGTCGCTCAGACTTCGATACCAACTAATTACATACCAATGACGTAAGCTACTGCGTGGCGCAGCGGTAAAACTTTGACT